AGGAGGAAGAAGCAACCATAGTTTAAGAGAAGAATGATTGTTTTATTTTAGGATTTATAATTTTCAAAGTCATGTTGACATCAGCACCGGTCTGACCCACCGGTTAGATCGCTTCAACTGCCCAACTCAGGACCCGGTCCCTTGGCCGGGTTTTACCCCGGGTCGGGTATTAAAACATTGCAAAATTCACACATACACATTGCAACTTGTTTTAAAAAATCACATCTACTGCAACTACTGTTCCAAACTTAAAATTATAAATAACATTCATCATTTCAAATAACATAACAACAAAATAAACACACGAAGTTTAACCCCAAGGGGTCGGCTTGACAGTTAAGGAGATTTACTCTCTTCCTTGAATTTTTGGGTTCAAACCTTGGGCCATCTACCGCAATAACATTATGACTTATCAGGTCCTTTGCGCTTGTAGGGTATTTAATGAACCTCGGAGATTAATTGAAGTACGTGTAAGCTGACTCAGACATCCCAATTATAGAAAAAAAAGAAAAAAAAAAAGAAAAAAAGAACACAAGATACTGAAATACAATCAATAAAACATTTAAACATCATGGCTCATGCATGCTCCAAATTTGCCGTGGATATTCCTTCGTCAAGTCTAATCATTTCTACAAAATAAACATAAGAAAGTCAATATTATGTTAGCAACCTCCAAAATGTCCAACCAATTTTAATGGAAATTTCCAGACAACAAATTCATACTAATGACTTCCTAAAACCTCCAGCCGAACACTAACAAAACAATGCAGAAAGCATTCATATTTAATGCAATTTCCAGCAAACAATTTCATGTCCAATCCTTCTCAAAACCTTCAGCCGACCACATAACACATTAGCACAGCAAGGTTTTCAATTTTTAAGCAAAATCTCACTTAACAATTAACCACAATAATACAAATATTTTAGGTTTCAACCAAACCATGTCAAGAAAACTTTCCTAACAACATCTAAAATCTTTCCATGCAAAACTTCACCATTTCAATTTAATATAAATCACTTCTAAATTTCTAATTATCTAATTAAACAAACCAGCCCCACCAATTTGCTGGATTTTTCTACTTCAACAATCAACTCATTACACAATACCCACCCATACCATCCCTGAACACCAAAAATAACATGCATATATATAATTTATTTAAACATGCATGTAATATAAACCATACTAAATGTTTCCAAGAATTCATATATAAGTGTATATAAAAAAAAAATAACCCCATTTTGTCTGCTAATGATTGGGTTGAACTTTCAATCTTGGCTGCAGCTTATTGCTTATTACATAATTCTGCAATTTTCCCTTCTGTTGAAAACAATACCAGACAAAAAGTCCACTAAGAGTGGTTCTGGTTTTTACTTGATATAAAATATAGGACTGGCGTAGAATATATATTTGTGAAGTTGCCTAAAACCAGTTTGCAGCTTTTAAAAAATCCTGAAATATTTTAAATCTGATTTTTTTTTTTTTTTAATTGAAAACTGTTTTCATTCAAACCAATTAATTTATACAATTTTTCGAAGAATTGAAGTGGGATTTATATTTTTTAAAATATAAACTTGATCTTCTTAACCAAAGCTTATACAAATCAGTTGACCATAATTTCCACTAAAATAATTGAAATGTCTTGGGTTAGGTGCTACTGGTATAAAACACAGTTTCAATTTATGCTTATCTTGGATTACAAATTACATACCTTTGCCGGAATAAAGTGAATCGGCGCCGCAAGTCTTGCGTACTGGAGAGAATGCGCCATAGTGGGCTGGGGACGGACGGACTGGAGTGGACGCCGGACGGAAGGACTTCAGTGGACGGACGTAACAACCACAGTTCGTTCTTCCCCAAATCGTGAAATTTCAGAACACAAGAAGCCAAGAACCCTCCATCTCTAAATCCCTAAATCTGTAAATCACATTTGTTTTAATTTTCTTATATGTTAAATTACAGAACACCCCGAACATTTTTTAATTATACGCCATTGAAGCTCCGGTTCCAAGCCAATTCCTAAGGGGTACCTAGATCCCAGTTCCGAGCCGGGTCCTCGATTCCTATTGGGTTGGAACTAGAACCGAACATGGGTAGTCCTGATTCCAATTTTTTGGAACCGGAATCATCGATCTGGGTACTCACCGGTTCCAGGTCTATCCTCTACCCATGCTCAACCTTTAGCTATTACCGATGACAAATAAATTAATAAATTACTTTTAACCCCAAATTAGTAGAATTAGAAAAATAACCATCTTACTTTCAAATTTATTTCAATAACATCTTCTTTTTTAATATTCCTCTTCTTTGCGGCACATTTTAGTAGGTGATGGCGCATGTTAGTGGTGTTGTCCCTAGTTGTTTTCTAGCACTTTTCGACGACGAAAATAGCCCCCTACCCCACTTTTTGACTCCCCGACACCTCACCATCTCAGCACAATGCCACACCCCACCTCTTTCTCTTCTCTTTTCTCTTTCTCTTTCTCCTTTCCTCTCCTCCATGGTGGATCTAGGTTGGATTGCAAGGATTATTGTTGCAACGATTTTAGCTACTAAGGGGGATCTGGGTTTTTCTATCGTAGGGGTGTAATCAACATATTTCAAACTTTCCTATTTCTCAGGAGTGCTTTGAGAGAAATTTGAGATATAAAGCGTTATTTTGAAATGTTTATTTTTATTTTAAATTTAATACAGTGCAGATGCTGACTTTACCAGTTAACTATTACATTAAATAATTTTCTATTAATTTAAAGTAGGAATCTAAGATAACATTGTCTCTTCTCAACTACTTAGAAGGTTTTGCCATCAACGGTGAGTGATTAATATAATATCAATGACTACTTTACCATTTAACTATTACATTAAATAATTTTCTATTAATTTAAGGATAAAAATTGGAATAAATAAAATAAGGGGTGTAAACTTGCCATTTCGCTAATCTTTGGGTGAGAACATGTTGTTTACTTTATAATAATATGTTAAGTACACAAATTTGACGTAAAATTAGAATCATTGTTTTAAAACCCAGCCCGACCAGTTGGAGACCCGGCCGGGGGAGTCATTTCACCTAGATTCAATTGGGGTTGGATCGGGGATACTGTAGCAATAGCTGGTCCACCCGGTTTTAGGGGAAGACCGGGTTGCACCTAGTTTTCAAGCTGTAAAAATGAATTTCTTTTATGGTTTCCCCTTTTTTTTTTTCCGGTCTTTGTCGAGCCCTAACCCATTTTTCTCTCTTCCATTGTTGATTTCTTCATCTCAATCTCTTCAGTTCTTCATCTCATCTCTTCAATTCTTCGCAGCACTTTCATTTCACTTCGGCTATTAAAAAAGTCTCCTAACCAATTAACGCAAGCAACCAGTAACCTTCCCCAACAAACCATCAATACAATCCCCACCCACACCACCAAAGCAACACCATATTCCTAACTCACACATCAATCAAAGCCAATCAAATCAATTAAAGCATTTCAAAAACATGAAATCTTTTAAGGAAAAAAAATGTGAAGAAAATGGGATGGGCGGTTGTGAGGCTGTGAGAGGTATGGGCAATGGGGTGGGAAGAGAAATGGGTTGGGCAAGGTATGGGGTGCCATAGAGTGGTGGTGGGGGCATGCAACGACAAGATGGAGGTGGGGGATGCCATCGCTTAGATGGAAGTAGGGGTTGCCGTCGCTTAGATGGAAGTACGGGCTGTCGTTGCTTAGATGGAGGGCTACCGCCGCTATTGTCTATGGTGGGGTAAGGCCATTGACGATGGCTAAGTAGGACTGGCAATGGGGTGTGGGGTGATGGTTAACGACATGGTTGGATGGGGGAAAGGGTGGGGAGGCGGTGATTCACTTTATGCTATTGGATTTTTGTGAGGAGGCTGTTAGTTTTTGTGATTTGGCTGGGTTTTTTTCGATTTGAATGGAGTAGGCTACTGGGTTTCTACGATTTGGGTTGATTTTGGGATTTGAATGGAGAAGGTTGTTGGGCTTTTGAGAGGAGGTTGCGGTTGCTTTTTGTTTTATTGTGAGAGAGTTGGGTAATGAGGAAGAAGAAGAAGATGATTTGATTTTGGGATTTGAATGGAGAAGGTTGTTGGGTTTTTGAGAGGAGGTTGTGGCTACTTTTTGTTTTATTGTGAGGGAGTTGGGTTTTGAGGAAGAAGAAGAAAATGAAGCCGCCATTGTTTTGTCCGGGGATTTATTAATTTTTTAACGGTTGAATCATGCTGACATCAGCACCGGTTTGACCCTATAAAACACAGGTTTTACCCCAGGTTGGGTTTTAAAACATTGATTAGAACTCCTATAAAACATTGCTTCTTTATTGAAGCAAAAGCTAAAAGGTAAAAACAAAGATTAATTATTTAATTAAGATAAAAACTATTCATATCATGATCTAATTTCTTGAAAGAAGCCAATAATTCCTATATACAAGTATTCTATTAAGCTTTTAACATAATATTCGGTGTTTATTTAAATCCCAAAAGAATTGATTAGCAATAATAGAGATGTGCTGTTGAGATAAAAAGATAAAAACAGAAAGAAGGTGAAGTTGGCTGTTATGCCTATCAATTTCTTTATCATTTAGTTTATTAAACACTTTCTTATATATGTTTATTGGATGAAAATCACTTTTAAAAGCATTAACCAACTGTATGACTATTTGTAGAGTCCCAATTTAACGTTTGGTTTGTGGTTTAAATTTAATTTCAAAAATAAAATTTGAATTATGTTTCATATTTTTAAGATTTATCTTCAAAAACTACTTACTTTGACTAAAACTTATAGAAGACGACTGATTTTTACGTACAAAAGAAATGTTTTAAAAACATTCACTTATATCAACCAACACACATTTTGTATTTAAATTCTATATCTAATAAACTCTAAAACAAAAAAAAATTAAAATTAAAAATTAAAAATTAAATAATCAGTTAAGCATAGCAAAACAGCATGCAACCTAGAAATATAAACCAACCATTTTGATACAAGTATAAGCCAATTCATACTAATAATTTAAGCACACACATTATATTTATACCCCAGAGTAAAATACAATATTAGCATCTCCTTCAAACACACAAATACTGATACCAACATCTATAGATGGATATCTACCATCAACTGTTCTACATTAACTTAAACATCTTTACCATACTAGCACTGAGATTTCAGGTGTCCGCTTACTTCCTCTCTACTTGCTGGTGCTCACTGGATCACTTCCACCGTCATATTAACACCAGCTACTCCACAAAGATAGATAATACGCCTTGAAACCAAATTCTAAAACCACGCATACTACTATAGCTATAACCAAAGCCTTCTAGGCCCGAACAGAGGCCAAAGAATACCGCGGTCCAAGCCTTCTTTTCCTTAACCGCTCGGATATAATGAAGGCAAGCTCTAGAGATTGAGAAGCATTGAGCCTTGGATCACAGTGGGTGTGGTAACGTGAGTGCAGGTCGTCATAAGTTATAGTTCGAGAGCCTCCCACACACTCTGTCACATTCTGTCCTGTCATCTCTAAATGAACTCCTCCAGGATAGCTTCCTTCTTGATCATGCACATCAAAGAATGCCCTTACCTCAGCCTATTAACACATATTAAGAAAGCCATTATTATCATTACAACCATTGTTATTAAAGTATAATTTCAAAGAGGGCGAAATGGATGTAGACTTCACATGAAAGATACTCAGATGTCGCAATTTATGTTACAATCTAGGATGGAGGAACAACAGAGATACAATTGTGTTCTTAAGTGAAAGCAAGACAATTTGATAAACTGACCAAGTTTCATAATTCAACCTGTTTATGTTCCATCTTACAGACTCCAGTACATTTGCACCGTTGCCATCCAATTAGTGATCAAACAATTAAGTAATGTTTTATCCCAGCCAGACAAGTCATCAACAAGGAAAGTCATACACAAGGCAACTTAATATCACACTTGTCAAGATAAAACTTCTTCATCAAAAGGCTCTTTTGGAATACTTGTCTGTGTACAATAAGCAGTAGATATGGTACATATCAAGAAAATATGACCACTCCGGCAGTATTCACAAAATTCAGAAGTGGTGTGACCAGACAACCAAGTTTATGAAGTGCAAAGAAGTCTAAACATAATCCATATATAACATATATTATTTTGATAAATACCAAACTTACCCTGATTGCATCAAAGGAACGAGTTTTGAGTCCAGATGGAGCTTTTATGGTGTTTCCATGCATGGGGTCGCTAACCCAAGTGACAATTTGACCTGCTCTACGTACAGACCTTATCAGATGGGGAAGCTTAACTCTCATGTTTTCAGCTCCCATCCTTACAATCACTGTTATCCTCCCTGGCTTGTTCTTTGGATTTAGGATTTCTATGAGCCTAACTAGCTCATCTGGATCCATCTTATCGCTCACCTGTGTCACAACACATGACAGAACAAATTACTTCAATCTTTACTAAGATATCCAGAGTCAAATCACAAACCAATTACTTGACAGAAAAGCATGAATATGTATACAAGTTCAAGGCACAAATAACTAAAAAAATAAATAACCATGTAGAAAAATATTGCTAAGCATATATCAAAAACTATTGGTTCAGTTCCCAGTCTCCAGATTAATAGAGATCAGTAGAGAAAAGAATTCCAGTTTTCAGAAAAATACAGCACCTTGATACCAAGGGGATTAGCAACTCCTCTCAAAAATTCAACATGAGCACCATCAAGTTGGCGGGTACGTTCTCCAACCCAAATCATGTGAGCAGAGCAGTCATAGTAAAGCCCAGAAGTTGAATCCTCTCTTGTAAGAGCTTGTTCGTAAGGCAGGAGCAAGCACTCGTGAGATGTCCAAAACTCTGTTGTGGTCATAGTTGGGTGGCCACTTGTGAGTCCAGCAGCAGCCATGAATGCCATGGCCTCATCAACTCGGTGAGCCAATTCACGGTATCTATTCAACAACACAGACAAAAAACACTTTCAAGTAATTGCCTTTATAGTTAAGGGCTGTAGGTAAGGGCTTCTTTGTTTTCTTGAGAGAGATACCTCTGATACATGTTTTGATCATTGTTTATCATTCTCATCTAAATTTTACCATTGAGATACATTTAATCTTAGATTATCATTGATATGCAAGATTCAAATGATGATCACGCCACATATTGAAATTTTAACAATTACAGATGATAAAATTCCTGTTATGCAAATCATTTTGCTTATCCAAACGGACTCCTATTTATTTATTTTTTAAATTTATAGAAGAGTAAAAGTTATGCACCACATAATACATTAACTCAATTTAAAGCCACCGAAATTAGTAAACTCGATAAAAAATAAAAAAAAATAAATAAATAAAAATTGTTCAAAGTGGAAAGACATACCGATCACCCTGCTCACTGTGCTCTGTGAAATCGAGATTCCAATGAGTGACTCTCTGCATTGCAGCATAACCTCCGGTTGCGAATGCCCTTAAGAGGTTCAAAGTTGCGACAGATTGCAAATAAGCTCTAGTCATCCTATGGGGGTCTGGAACTCTTGATTTTGTATCAAATTCATCACCATTCACATTGTCACCTCTATAACTAGGTAGCTTCACTCCATTCTTCTCTTCAAATGGATCTGACCTCGGTTTTGCAAATTGACCTGCCATTCTTCCCACCTACATTCTCAAATTCAACCTCCACATCGTCAACAACAATTACTAGCAGCTATACCAATTAACATATTCAATGATCAACAGTATAACATTAAAGAGAATATAACTTTCCTTGTCAATCATAATTTGGAATTAATTAATTGGAAATAATAGCCATGATTGTAAAATCATACAGGAAGAAGAAATTAAAAAAAAACCTTGATAACAGGCATTTGACCACCAAACATTAGCACAATACTCATCTGAAGAAGAACACGAAAAGTGTCACGAATGTTATTGGCATTGAATTCTTTAAAACTCTCAGCACAATCACCACCCTGAAGCAAGAAAGCATTTCCAAGAGCAGCCTGTCCCAGTTTCTCTTCAAGGCTTCTGGCCTCGCCAGCAAACACGATTGGAGGGAATGTTGAGAGAGAATCAAGAACAGACTGAAGCTCGTCTTTGTCGGGATATTCTGGGAGCTGGAGAGCCTTCTTGGTCTTCCAACTGTCCAGATTCCATTTTGTGGATGACGCGGATTTGGTGGACTGGACGGCTGAGATGGGTTTGAGTTTGAGAGATGTGTAGGGGCGGAGGAGAGAGGTGTGGTGGCGACGGTGGTGGTGAATGAAGGTCTTGGAGGAGAGAAGAGAAGAGGTGGATAGAGCCATAGTTGGTGACGACAGGCAAGTGAGAAAATATCCTCAACTGAAAGTAGTAAAGAAAAAGTCCAAAACCATATTGGGCAATTTACAAATATATCCGTCTTTAAGCGTGTGAAATAACTATTTTATTCTAAGATATTAGAAATGTTAAAATACAAGGATCTAGTGAGATTTCTTCCACACACAAATAGAGTTGTATTGTATTCATGTATTGTACCTAATCTGTTACACGTACTGAGAAGAAATATATAATTTTCTAGAGAAACTTATTAAAGAAATCTGAAAATAGCTAAAAACAGTCCTATTAGGCAAAATAGCCATTTTGTATTTTATAATTAATAATGAAATATTTAATAAATACTAAAAAGAATTATGCAAATAAATTACTTAAATTATTTAACAAGTTCTGGCAGAATGATAATAACTCATTTTTTTTATGTTGAGCTCAATTTTAATGACTTAGCTAAAAATGAAGTGTAAACTTTGCTCGAAAATAAGTAAGAAGAAAAACAAAGAACTTTAAAGCTGAGAAAAAAGAAGGGAAGATGTGAGAAATATAAACTATTAAATTATAAATTATAAAAGCTGAGAAATATAAATTATTTCTTCAAATTATTAAAGAGTAGAACGAAAAAGCCTAAGATTGAAGCCAAGCCAAAGAGAGAATCCTTGTCCATATTTGGAAGTTTCAGAAAACAAAAGAAGTTACTAGCTCCATTAATTAATGGGGATTTAGTTCCAAAACAATCTCATCAATTTTAAATTCAAAATTAAAACAAGTCCAATATATAATAAGGATTGATAAAAACTTGAAAATACATATTTTGTTAGTGATTCAATTGGATTATTTGTGAAAAAATGTGTTTAATTTGTGAAATTTAACTTAATTATTTCATAAATGTCTTTTATAGGATTACGGATATGTTTTGAGTGTTTTCAGGTTCTTAAAGATGATATTCAAATAAAGGTTATATCGACAATGGAATGTGGGATGACAAGAATCAAATGGTTCGTGATTCGGAGCTGAAACGAAGAAGTTATGGCGATTTGAAGTTAAAGTGGAAATCCTGGAAAACGCTCCAATTTTGAACATGTGACAATAATTCGACAATAACTTGAGTTGTAGATTTTGGATTGAGATGATTCTTGAACCGTTGGAAAGATGATTCAAAGGGCTACAATTCATATTTTTACCACTTGTCAAGATTCGAAAGTTATCATGCTAAAAAACCACCGTCTTTTCAAGATTGCAAGTTCTAGGGCAGAACCAACTTTGCCTAGGCACAGTGCTACGGCACAACTGCGATTCTGGATTTTTTTTACATTAAATTTATGACGTGTATTTCCTGTTTTAAGAGTTCTAAAGTGATTAGGATAGTGGGAAATAAATAGATATCTTTAGTTGAGTTTTGGGAGACTAGAAGGGAGAGAAGTTCAGCTCTTCTCTGGAGATTGCAAATTCCTGCAACTTTGAGTCATCAATTAGAGAAGTTTTTCTACTCTTTCTTATAATCATGTTTTTGAATACAATGACTTTTATTATTGAAAGTATGAACTAATTTTATTTTTTTTAAGGCTAAGATATAACCCAATTTTATGAATATGCATTGAATTATTATTGCTAATTTTTATTAAGTTTTGTTTTAAGTTTTATTATTACGCTTAAAGCATTCAATTCTTAAGGGTCCTAGAGTTGAATGATTTTATGAGTTAGGTTGAGATCGAGAGATGAAACCTAATTAGTTTAAGGTAAAAAAACCATAGATTGAGCGAACGCTAAAGATAAGTTACCGCGATCTGTGAGGTTCTGGTAAATTCCATAAAATTTAATGATCTCCCATTACTTAAATCTGATTATAGATAATTCGGGTTAATAATTAAGAGTTAATTTGTTAATTGTTTGAGAAAAAATTAGTAAAATATTAGAGAGTTTGACCTTTAGAATAAGCTTAATTGGGTTAACGATAATTGTCGATGCATAGTATTAAATTGGTGTGAAATCTATGCCCTATGTTTAGTCATATTAATTTCATACTAAAGTATTAATAAAAATATGTTTTTGTTTTGTTTCTAAATTGTTTTATTTTTCATTGAATTATTCTGAAAATCTAATTGATCAAATAGCAATAAAATAGGTTAGTGTGATACTTGGTATTAGTAATTCTTTTGGGATTCGATACTCGTTACTCGAGCTTTATTATTTGCACGATTCCGTACACTTGCGGATTTCAACAAGCATCACCAGAAGCTAGCAAACAAACCATATGCAGCCATATATTTGCAAAGGCAGACATGTAGAGGGAGCCACAAAAAGAATTTTAAACATAAAATTTGATGACTCACATCACAAAAGCAAGCATTATAATTACAGTGTTTGCCATCAACAAACCTAAATCTCATCTTCCCAAAACATCACCTTCCATTAAAGAAAAAAAAAAAAAAGGACCAAAACTGGATTTTCTTGAATGTATCCACTAACCAGAGCTCTGTCAAACAAAATTGAGCCCTCAGTAGTAGGGACCATAGCGCATTGGCATTCTGTACCTCGGAAACTTCCTGCAACATGAAGAGAAGTGCCAATTTCCAGCAATGGTCAAAAGTTAAAGACCACGTATATCATGAATTTGTCCACAAAAAGTGATTAGAAATTATAAGAGAAGCATACCGATAACCATAAGGAGCGTAGAAATAAGGTGGAGGTATAAATGGAGCCCTAGATCGATATGGCATGATAGGGTTGGCTCGGCGAGGTTGATACTGCTTCATTCCAGGTACATTGGTCCGTTTAACAGTTACCTGCAGTGGTATCAGAAAGCTTTGGTCAAAGTATAGATCATAAAGAAAAGAAGCAAATAAGGAATCAAAGTTCATTACTGTGAAACTATTCAACTGCAGAAAAAGGGGGCATAAATAAAAATTTTTAAATGATTGTTTTACTTTCAATTGACGGCCATGAAGTTCAGATTCATTCAGAAGAAGAGCTTCTTGAACAGCCTGTGGTTCAAGAAATTCCACATATGCATAACCTTTTGGTTGGCCGAACTTATCAGTGCGAATGGTAACTCTATTCACTGTCCCACATGACTGGAAATGCTGCTGGACTTCTTCAGGGGTACAGGAATAATCCACCTACAAATCAAGATTGATCCCAAAGACTTCATTCATGGCCAGGAAGAAAGATATATATATCAATTGTATAAACAGCTGATGTTAATCATAACTACAACAGAACAAGAGATAGGATGGTCAAAAACATTGCTTCCTGGTTCATTTTTTGAATGAATTTCAGGGGTTCATCGCTTAGTTACCAAACAGTAGTAAAACCAGAGAGCAAAAATTATAAAGCATATGCCATTAACACAACTCTAGAATTAGAAAAAGTCAGAAGAATCTGCAATTCTTGCTCTGAGTTATGAAGAAAACAAAAAAGTTACAACCAATAGCTACCAAAGTTAATACAGCCACATACCTACAGCTACAGCATCCTATGATACAATTTGTATGTAAAAATAGATTTTAATAAAGTCCATAAGAATGTTATTAAGTATTAAACTTAGGTTTACATTTTCTTTCTATTTTAATTTGGATACTTCCTTTCTATTATTTAAATGAGCAACACTACTGAAGAAGTAAATGTAAAACAAGCAGTTGTTAACTGTAAGACTTAAAAGAACTTATCACAAAACAAGCAACTTCTTTACTTTCATACAGTTTTCTCCCCAATATATAACAAAACATACAAGCATAATGCTAGAAACCCAACCTTCACCTGCAAATATCACTCACAACAGCAACTACCCAGAACCACTTCCACAACCACACACACAGAGTCAAACAGCACAGAACTCCAAAACACACCAGAATAATCCAAGAACAAGCAAATACTGAATTATATCAATTCATATATAAACAGAACTACAACACTACACCAAGTCAGTTCCACCAACATAAGAAGAAAATAACCAGAACCAGAAAACAAGACCTACAATAAGAGCAAAATGAAGAACCAGCTGGACTTCGAGGGCCAGCACCTCCCCCAATCGTTTCCCTTTTTACTTTTTTGAATGAATCTCTGAAGTTCCCAGCAATTCTCTTTTATTCTGCTCACTTCTCTCACCATAACCGAATTCAGCATTCTCCCATTCATCAGTTGCCACTTGTCAGTCTCTCATAAACCTAGTATCACACACACAGCATGCATAAAGCCTGACAATATTGTCCATCATCCTCCTTTCACCCCCCTTGTTTCTCCTCTATGTTAGTGGATACATCACATTAACATCCCAAGCCCTGCTGAGATAAATATGTGTATATAATAGCAAAACATATTTTGATTTATTCTCTATAGAAGCCTTATTAAATAATTCAATAACAATTATTATTTCGTCCCTCCTATCTGAGATAATGAAAAGAAACCAGAGACCCCCATTTATTCAAAGTGAAGAAAAAGGAGATCATAGATACCCCACCACAAGAACAAAACACTTAGATTTCCTAAAGCATTAACTGCCACAGAAGCAGCCCCTCTGGCATGCAAATTAATAGCAAAACTACTAGCCAGTCCTCACTTTTCCATGCCTGTAACTCTTTCAAATGATTTGTCTGGATTCAAAATTCTAAGACATCTCTCCTATAGGTATCCCATCCCAGTCAAATCTACAACGGTCAAGTACATTATCACCCTAACAGTAGCTTTGATGATCTGGAGATTTTGGCCAACAATACTTTCCTTTCTCTACCTTTATTTCTTTCTTTGATCAGATAATTTTCCATTAAAAACCATCACTTTTTCGTGTAAAAATTTCCAAACCTATCCTTCATTCCTGTTCCTAATCCCTCTATAGTATCTTAATTTCAGTCTCTATGAAGGACAGAGATTTTCTCCTAATTATAGTATAGTTACACCCCCAACCCCCCCCCCCCCCCCCCCCACACCACCCCACCCCCCACCCCCAACCCCCCCCGGGAAAAAAAAAAAACATATGTTAATCATCCTAGAAGATCTTGCAAAGTGTAACTGAACTTGTAAACAAAGAGGATCCTGATTTCCCTAAAAATAAGTAACCATTCAGGTTTGGTGGCATGCCAATCATATCCAGGCACTCAATAGTTTTCTAACAGAAACAAGTAGAGAGTTACACAGAGACTAAGATAAAACCAACTAATCATATGATCACACAGCAGCTACAGGTATGGCAGGTGAGATAGATAACAGCATAATGAATGCTTTGGATGAAGACTCATAGTTAAATAAGACAGTATCTACCTATAAGTGTTTAGGGATAGACATAAAATTATGCAATAGAAGCATCAATATGGTTATCACTTTCTGATTAAAGTGATGCAAAAACTGAATGCAATACATGATTTATATGGAAGCAAATATGTAGATCCATTTATACTTTTTAGGCATACAAATATGCAGATTATTTCCGACAAAGTGATACAAATGTCATAAATTACAAATGAAAGCAATACAAAATCATCATACTATATGACCTTACAAACAATTATCTTTTTCTAAAAGCATAAAAACCTTAAAAATAAGAAGATATCTAATCTACGGATGACAGAAAATGATTCAAATAAGCAAATGTTAATGTGTCATACATATAAAACCACATTTAGATACTGTTACAGATATACATGACTTCCTAGATGATGGGGATCACATTATAATCCTTGATTATAGGGATCACTACTATCCTAATTTAGATTGATCACCTACCTAGTTTAGAACATTACAAGTGTATATAAATATGTATCCTTTTAAGCTAAGAAAGTTAAGTGTGAATATTCATTACGTTTATTTTACAGATACAAATAAAAGCGAAGCAACTACTGGCACTAATAAGCAGTGTTTTCAAAACTACTTCCACAAAGAGAACTACACAAAAAGTGACTAATGGCCAGAAAGAGCATCGACAAATATCTGATTTCTAACAGTTGAATCATCACTTTGGACAAAGGAATTGACAAGGTCAAGAACAATTGCATTTGAATATCAAATCAGGTAGGGCTTTGAGCCACTAGTTCATTTTCAGTCAATTGTAATCGTATTTTACATGCTTTTTGAAGCAAAGAATGTTGTTGGTTTAATTATAAATTAATTAAGTCAAGGTCAGATTTCTAACAGAATACCTAAAATGAAATGTAGCACTACACATGCCTGTTATTTAAAATGTATTTGTCTTATTAATCTTTTACATATATATTTTGATTTGATATTTTCTAGCCTGATTGCTTCCAAGTTCACTAATTAGGAACTACCCCCAAAGGTTTGCAGAACCATAACACCTCTATAAAGCATATGTGATCTGTCAGTTAAATTAAAGAGACAGGAACAGAACGAACCAGATTATTGAATGTTTTAAGACTTTATTTCAGGGTGATATTCGTCCGAGGTGTAATTGCTTATGTTCTATCCCTTTTATCATCTGTAACATTGTTCCAAGTTTCTACAATATCCTCTCTCATTTTCAGCACCTCAATGGCACTAAACATTAATTTTTCAACCTCAGTTCAATCCCCAATATCTAAAATCCAAGCCATAATGCTGGATTTACTATCATTTGCAGCAGACTTTTTCAGTTTTGCATCATGAATCAATGGCAATAATCAATCCAAAAATATGTCCATAGGTGAAGTCAATTAAAGAAAAATTTAGAAAGGCAAAAATATAACATAAACAAGTAAAAGAAGTCTCACATTGCCAACAAAGACCGATCGAGAATCTACTTCTTCTTTATTTGCCTGAGAAGTAGCTCCAGCAGCAGGATCTGGTGGCACACAAAATCCTAATATGAATGACAGAATGGAAGAAAGATATAACAAAGCGACTATTCATCAAAGTTTTGTATCTTTGTCCCATCACAAAACAAACCACAAAATTTCTTACCAAAATCACATAGAAAAACCATAAGCAATTTTGAATTGGATCTACATTTTAAAGAAATCACACAACTTCATCAATTTTTCTTTTTTTTCATTTCAAAATATTACTCGAATATAGCAAATAGTGAGCAAACAACTTTAATCGAACTTGAATAACAAGCCAATTAACCTTACAACCTAATACTAAGATACAGAAACAGAGAAAATTGAAAAGGGAAGTTTGGTTATAGATTTTGCATTGAAATTCCAAGTTAATAATATAATGATTGTTAAAAGAGTAACAAAATAATGCTGGACAGACAATGTAAGTTTAAAAGACCTTGTAACGACGACATGTCGTTTTGAACCTTGGTTTGCATCTCTTTGAGAGCGGCGGCTTCGTCTTCCATCTCTTTGGACCGCTTCTTCATGTGATCAAGTTCCTGCAATACAATAAGTACAGTTGCAAGTAAACCCCAAAATACAAATTGGTTTTGAAATTAGATGATAACTATTATATAGTATTATGAGACGAAGTATGAAAGAGGGAAGGCTACTGTTTCTATTTGGCTGTCGTGTGCGTCAGTCACAGTGTGTGTCATGTTGACGTCTTCTCCTTCACCTTCCATATCCATCCCTCTCCCACACTCTACCCTTTGTATCTACTCAACTCAAGATACTCAAATACTTTTCATAAAGCATTATTTTGTTGGTGACCTATGGGCATTCGGTGTATTCTTTTATATGGGTAAATGCGCGGCTGTGTTTGTTTAAGTACTTATAATCATATTGCTGAAAAAGTTGATTAGTTGTTTTTGGGTAAATGCGCGGCTGTGTTTGTTTAAGTACTTAGAATAGTAATTTTTAAAAAGTTGATTTGGGGTTGAGTTGGTTTTATAAGAATAGGATATGCATTTAAAAATGTGTAGTTAAATTTTTGGAAAATATTTTTAAAAAAAATTTAGATTATTTTTAACCCCTTATATTTGGTAATTTCACAAAGTACCCCATATAATTTAGCTCAAAGACCAGATTGGTTTACGATCAACTAGATCCAATCGATTATGTGTCATTCCAGTGACTTTTGACCACGGTCCAATGGTGGTGGCTGACTGTTTACAATTATTGAATGGGTGGAAGTGTTTTTATTTATTTATAAACTTTTATTGAGAAAAGTTGAGGTATTTTTGTTAATTTTAAAATTTTTATTGAGAAAATAATTATTGATGTTTTGAGTTGAATAAAATAGAGTTGGATTTTGAGAATATCGAAACGATGTATCTTTCATTTTTTTGGATTAAATAATAAGATAGGATAGGGTTTGAACTTTGAATAATGCTCCAAAAACAGCCCTCCCTTAAAGCTTTCAAAAATAATATAAATTCACTTATAGCTATATTGTTGATATTAAATCTAATTAAAATTGTCTTTATGTGAAACAATGGACACTGAAAAACAAAACTTTTAGTGCATTACATGTAATAGAAATAAATAAATTCTTTGTCATCTCATTTCCTTAGTAGGCCTTAACCGGTTAAACCAAACCGTAATTGGACAATTTAGTAATGTTTACTTACTCATAATAGTATAAATTTTAACAATTCATTAATGGTAGGTAACAAATTTTTTATTATTTCAGAAACATTTGAAAAAGTTTTATTATTACAGTAATACTACATTCACAAACCCTTCCACTAACTTTCTTCAACAAATGCGATGTGTCAGTTCGCAATGGGTTTCGTCTGACTAAATGCAAACTGATTAATTGTGAACTATCATGTCAGCGTTTGTGAGAGAAAATTGTAAGAAATGTTTGTCAATATATCTTTATTCCTATTATTATATCATACATATGGGGTCTATGTTAACTCCTTTATTATAATATTTGATTATTCTCTATTCCATAAGGTATTAATTATGCAGATATTCCTTGTATAGCCATATCATTAATTCCAATTTCCAAAATGTCAAGCTATGTTTAAAAAATATATTTAACCATAAAATTACACTATTTAACTTAATTACCCTTAATGAAAAATAACACAAATAAAAGCAGTGCAAATGTGCTAGACTATCAAATCTATCAAGTCTCGGATGGTCTAGCATGGTTACACATACTTTAATTAGACTATTAAATTATATTATTAAACTAGTTGACACGCCCGCGTACTGCGTAAGTTTATTTATTATATTGTTTTTATTTTATTATCGAATTTTTATATTTTAAGAAATTGTAAATGACTATTGTTTCACAACAAAATATGTCAAATATTGATTATATTAGAACATTTTGTTATTGTTCTTTTTTTTTTAATCGGGTTTTTATATTTAAAGATTGCTGAGAATCGTGATATGATTGCCATTTAGGATGTCGTTAATTGGTCCCCGTGTTTGCTGCTTATTGGTGTTGATAAAATAGAGATGATTCACATGCGTTCAATTAATGTATGCAGTACAGATCTTTCACATTCCTCTTTTAATTTGATAAAATGCAAGTGATGGAAGATTGAAATGGTCAGTTTGTAATTGAGCAGGAATTGAATTAATTAAATTCAATACATAGAAGTTGAAAGTCCCGCAACTTATGAAAATGGTTTTGACACAAATAAATAAATTAATTGAAGAACGAAATAATACTGGAACCTTTTAGTGATAGGAATATATTCCATTTTGAAAGCAAAAGAAGAGTTGCAACACTTTTCTTACAACAATTTGGTACATAATAATATAATTGAAATGACAATTTTGCCCTTCTTAAAATTAGTAGTTCCTGCATGGAATATAACCATTGCTTTGAGGTCCAACAGTTAATCTTGTACTATTTTAAAAGGTTGCCTAGCACCATGAAATGAGCAAAAATAAAATAAAATAAAACTTGTCATCCTTCATCATCCAACACAAACTCTATTCGCCACAAAACACAAACTCTATTCACCACAAAACACAAACTATTACTGGCTACAGAGTCCACAACAAAAACATGTATAACCTATCTAAGAATGTAAGTTTGCAACTTTTTGATAATAAAATATGCTTAATTGATAAACACTTTGCAATATAACATTGTTTATAAGACACAGAAAAACAAAATAAATGGACAATTTTTTTTTTAAATGGTTCATACTGTGTCTACACCAAAAAAGAAGTGTTTATTAAATTATTCTGAATGTCACCCCCATCAATGCTCACTGTGACCATCACTGCCAAAGGTTGGCTGCATAATAAAGGAATCAAAACTGAATCAATTTACGTTCAGAAATAAATAAGTAATAATATGAAATTTTATAAACAAACAATGGTTTAAAGTAAGCACCCGTGAGTGGGGCAATGGCTAGCTACATTTGGAATGACCACTTCCGGTTGCTCAACAGGTAGTGTATAGGTTGTTGTTGTAGGTGGAACAACTCTTAGTCAAGCACAGAGAGAAAGATGGGAATTGTAGTTCCAAGCTCCATGAATATATCAAAAACTGATAATGAAACAGACATCATTGATTCTCCAAAGAGCTTGATGTTGGAGCATAGTTCGTCCTCAAGTCAAGAGGTTAGTCAAATTAGCCAAATATGAATATGAATATCCAAGAATTTGTCAAACATCCACATATGTTTTAATCCAAACTTAAGTTCTACGCAAAAGTTCACTAAAAACTTAAAAATTTCTATTTGAAAAACTCTTTCTGCAAGAAGTTTGAGTTTATACTCAAAGAAAATAATGGGTTACTAAATTTAGTCTTGTTACATAAAAGCACCAAGAAAAAAAAAATTTCAACTGCTTTTAGACATTAAGAAAACTTAAAGAGTAAGTGTTTTTAAGATTACACTAAGTTGGCACATAAATCATCAAATTTTTACTCTATAAAAGAAAAGATTATCTTTCGAATATGGTCTCTGCTTTTCATCATGTTAGCTACTGGGTTTGAGAACTAATCAAGTTCATTTATTGAAAAAAAAAAAAAAAAAAAGAACAATTAACAGGATGTTACTCATTTATCCCACCACACACACATGCACATGCACACACATGCACACATACTGTATATGCATTAAATGTGATAAAGTAAGAGAAAGTTGTGCAATTCTTGGAAGCTAATACATTGTGCAGTAGCTAAAACATATCATATCCAATTTGATGGAGATCTATGGACAAAACCATACCATTATGCTCTGTACCATAATCAATTTATAACTTCACATAGAAAATATATGTAATGTATGAAAGAAATAATACCAGACATTGACGGAGTTAGAATGCCATCACCAATAACCATGATGGTTCCCAAAAGCACTACCAGTAGCAATAGAAGTTACTCATTCCTCAATTGATCTTATGTTTCATCTAGTTTTCTAGCACAACTCTTGTGTTATACAAAGGGCTGCAATCTCACAATACAAACATCAAAGAGCCGCAATCTCACAATACAAGCATCATAATTTCATGCCTTAGTCTAACATATCATAAGAAAATAATTAGAAGGAAACAAAAAAGAAATGAAACTTGTTAGAATCATTCACAATGGCTTCAAAAACAATCTCATCAACCTACAGGAAATCCCAATTCAATTAAATCACAAAAACAATCAAACACCGCTATCAAATTTCCAATAAACATTTGAATTCTTCACACAAACATACCCACCTAGCAAGGCCAAGGCTAACACAATCAAGAATCTTGAAATCAGACATCTTGAACCTTATAACATGCCCTGACTCTTCTTCCTCCACAGAAACAACCTCAGATTCCACTCAAGAAACAACCTTCCTCGAAGATGAACACTGAACTCCAAAACTTCTCCTCTGAAACATCACACATGACTTTGACTTCCCACAAACTGCCTACTAATAAGCCTTGTTGACAAATTCCCACTTAAACTCCATCTCTTAACACCCTCCAAACCCTGACTGGAACCAATCCCACATATCGCCATATAACCAATTTGCAAAAAGACAATTTTGGATCATTCTGAGAACAAAAACAATTGTAGACGTTTATTTCTCATGTCATTTTAAGGAACATATAAAAAAAAAAATCAATATTTAAATCAAGTCATTGAATTATACAAAGAAATGAATCATTCAACACATATAGAATAAGTTTAAGTTCAATTGTTGAGAAACTTATTCACTACTTAATTAAAAAACTTTTAAAATTTAAATCCAACCCATTATGTTATACAATGAAATGGAATCTTTAAGAAATGGATTAAAATGTGTAAAATAGTAATGTAGAATTATGCGTTAACTGTAGAATAAACAATATTTATATTAGCTTCTGGTATCATCATTCAGTGGGAACAATATACTGTGAATCTTTAATCTATTTTATTAATAATAGAACTGTCTATCTATATCGTTCTATTTTTTTCCTTGAGGAATACCAAGTTCCTTTTCTTTGGCAATAATAAGGGATTCACGTTTCCGTAAATAGAATATTACATGTATGGTTGAGCCTGTTATTTCTAATAAAGCATTCATTATATCTCTGTTCATCACTCTGGCAGTGTTGAGTTTGTCCAGCGTGACTTTAAGGTTTTGTAGAATACCTTCCAGTTCAGGTGAACCATTTGACGTTGCTGCTTGACCTGCTAAAAAAAAAAAAAAAATGGACATGTAAAAGTAGATATGTAGAAGGAATATAAGAGTAATCAGTTGATGTTATTTACCGCACGCTTTTGTTTGTTTGGATTTTGGATTGACAATAGTTGGTCCTTTGTCTTCCATTTGTTAATGGTATCTGTGTGAAATGAAAG